AGAATGCAAGGCACATAAATGACCAGGAGGGTCATTATACCGCATTCCTCATCTGCTGGTTGATTCTGCTGCTGAAATTGGTATATCCATCCTAATTGCTATTATGCCACTGAAATATACATCTTCACTGCTACAGAACACTTACCACATTTCATTATGTATTACATACGCAGATATACTGGCAATCGTTCTTCGCTGTGGTCCCCAAAAAAACGCAGGTCGCAGTCATCATAGGTGTCGAGAAATTACCCTTTGTGACAATCAGTAAGTATAACATCTTACATTCTATTTTCTCAAACTCCACAATTTTTTGGACTCAGTAACCACTTTTTCCATCTGTTTGCTGCCATCTTCAATTATCATCTAAGCGTTATCATAGTACTTACTCTTCCCTCCTTATGTTGTCACACCCTCAGGAAAAAACAGTTTCTCTTCACTCTATGGGAGGATTTCGAAGAAATAGAAGGACATGAAGTTGCCTCTAAAATGGCAACAGAGGCACATCTGCCTGTAATCCTCGGAAGGAGTATAGGAATCTTTACTTATCAAGGTACATATGCACTAAAATTCTTACCAGCATAATTTTACATAATAACAAAACATTATATAACCTATGTATTATACAGGCTTGTCGCTGCAGACCAGGTACAACTCCACAGTACGTGTCAATCCAAATTACCCACAGGCACTGGCACTCATCAGCTGGTACTGACATTTTGCTATTTATTCTACAGCTTTATTTTCCCTGTAAAGAACCTACTAAACATATTAGCTGTTCTAACAATAGGGCAAATGAAAACAAAACAATGTTGTTAAGTTGTGCATCAGAGAAAACTTCAACAAGCTCATCTGTCAATCCCACCATAGTCACTCCTGCTGGCCAACAAGTTATCTCTATTGCAGATATCTCATCAGCACCTTCTGTAAGTCATAGTTGAAGTTCCTCATTTGAGACTATTCTTTTTCCTTCTGTCATTCTGTAAACTTGCGTAAATAATAAAAGCTTCCGACAGATGGGAGTGCTCTATGTTGAGGCAGAAATGGCCATATTAGATGAATTCCAAGACTTTTGTGTGCTCGAATGCTCAGGCTGCAAACAAAAAAAATGCACAAAGGATAGAAAAGATTTTGAATGTCCAAAATGCAATCGGAAAACAACATTAGTGCCGCGGTACTATACTTTTGACTTCTAAACTACTCTTGCTACAAAATATAGCATATATTATACACATATTTCAAGCTTGCCATCATTTCAGCTGTAGCTTCCAAATTGATCTTATTGACGGCACTGCTACAACCACAGCATCTATCTTACAACATCTATCTCTGCTAAATTAGGAGAAAAAATACTGTGCATGGCAGCAGAAGACATATTTGACATAACTTGCACTAGGGTTAGCTCTCATTCCCGCTGCCTACTTGTACAGACCTATTGTCATAATACTATATATCCTCAGCACACACACTTTAGCACATATGCTTTGTTCTAAACTATTTGTTCCAACTTGTTACATTTACAGCGACAATCATTGTCTCTTAATCATGTCCATGACATGCTCTCAAACAAAGTCTTCGAAATTCAGCTAAGGAAGTCATCTTGGGGCAGCTCAAATACCAAACATGCAACCTTGTCCGTTCTCTCCTACATCGAAAAAACACATACACCACAGAGCACTACTGATAGGACTTCTAAAAAGATTAAACCTTTGGAAATAAATGAGGTAGAAGTCACGACAACAATTAGTGCAACTGGTTCTTCAAATCCAATGCCAAAATTTGAACCACCACACCAACGAAAAGCTGTAAAAGGTGAGTCTACTTCTCACTTTCACGCCAACCTATAGGTCACAATGGTTATCACTTGCACATGTTCACAAGTATTTTAAAAATTACTGCTAAAAGTCTCTACTTTTAGCTGTAGTTTACTTTCTGTTATACACATAACCATATAGTTCATGTGAAACATTGTAAATGTCATACTGCTGCTTTTGTATTTGCTCTGATCTACTTTCAAATTTCACTTTTTTTCCCCTTTTGTGTCTCACATCACATTCGAAACTCTCACATTTATTCAGGGCTAAAAACTCTCTATCCGTGTTCATACCTACGGTCAAATCAATTGGTTAACAATTTATTTTTAACTCCTCATCTCATGTTAACTGTTGAATTAGCTTATTTTAGTTATAACAATTGACCACCTTTGTTACTTCACAGATACCACAAAACTGTAGCGTCTGTTTGCTGTTTAGTTATTCTTTGTCATTTGGCACTGCAATAGAAGCCTTTCCACATATTTTTCTGCATAACTTCGGCTGCATACAGTCTTGTACATTTCTGTTATTGCACTTTGTTGTGATGTGATACACTATGCATACACGATTACGTCAATCACACAGACATTCAACAAGGAATCTCCCACTTTTTTCATCAGTCCATGATTTGCTTTCTATTTGATCCATATGTTATAATTCCTTTGCTATGTGTTGCCATGTTTGCAATTTCTGACAGACTTTAAACTGTGCAATTACAGGAACTCTGTCACCCCATTTTGTCACTTTTGCTTATAATAGGGACACTACAATGAATGACTCTCCCTATGCTCTGGTTTTTTGCATGAGGAACATTAGCTATGGAGAAGCAAACTGCAGCATCCTCTAAATATGTCATAAACAATGACATGCTAATCTTATTTAGCAAAACTGCAACATGTACTATATTATTTTGCTTATATTACATTACTTAGTATGTGCAAATCGTTAAAATCAACACCATGCTAATGTCTATTGTACATATTAATATAATATATAATATTATCCATCTTCTACAAACACCTTCATCCTTCATTCATTAATATAAAAATAATTTCAAAATCATAATATTTTGACTATTGGGCCCGTGCTTGCCACGGGCCTCCCTACCCTAGTATATATATAGGTGAAGGTTTGACTCAACTGGAAAGTAATATATTTATTTATGTTTGGCCTTTTCTCTCATTTTCTTCTTTTAAAAGGAAAGTTTGTTTTCTTTTTAAATGTATGAAAAAATAATAATGGTAATAATGATATCAATTAAAATTGGCCTAAATAATTTTATTAAATCTTAGTTAATGAAACAGTTACAAACTTACAATACTAATAAAGTAAGCATTCATATATTGTTTGTTCAAACGGAAAAATAAAATAAAAATTCTTATTTAACTCAAAATCATAGCACATGATTATATATTATGTTTAATCATGTATAAATTAAAGATCCTTTGCAAATTTTACAATCCTCAACTCTAGTAACATTACAATACAAAATAAAGAATATTAAATAAAAAATAACAATTAGATATTCAGAATAATTTCATAAGTTCGGCTTAAAAAGTAAAAATAATAAATATCAATAACCTAAGTTAGAAATTCACATCTTTCTAATGTTAAGATTCACTTTGAAGTCTTGAGTGAATTTTTTTACTATCCTTTACTCCACTTGACCGCGTACATTTATGATTGCCTCAATGCTTGTTCATTCCGTGATGGCGCATTTGAGAGACGTAGAAGAACATTATGATCGGACATATTGAGCATCATTATCTAACATCTGCATATAGAGTAATTTATTTATGTTAGACACTACTAATATTAAAAAACAAACTAAAAAAATTATTAGTCAAACAGTTTATACTAATGTTACCATCATTTAATAATAATTTCCTCAATGGTGATTTTCGAATCCGTTAGCTATTGACTTGTTTTGGTCGTTGACCAATAAAACTTATAATTGTGAATATAACATTATATACTAATAAAACTTATAATCATGAATATAACATATCTATCAAATTAAAACATTAAAAACAAAAAAGGCATTGAAAAACAATATGTTAGTATCAGGCAAAATAACACATCAATAAATTACGAAGAAAATTATAATAAATTAATTGAATCAAAGTAAATTTTGAACTAAGAAAAAGTAACAAAAATAAGCAGCAGGAGGAAAAAATTATGTTGAAGGAACTTACCTGCATCAAAATGAATGACAAAGATCAATTGATAAAATAGGAACTTGTTTGATATGTACTACTTAGTGGAGGATTTATAAACTTGCATTAATTAATTAGAGTTTTGAAGATGAAAGGTTTGATAATTATAAATATTATTAATTACTAATTAAAAGTAGTTACAAAGATAAAAAGATGCAAGTTATGAAGATGATTTCAAATATAAATTATATATAGAAAAATAAAAATAAAATGTCAAAAAAAAAGAAGAGAAAAAATGATAAATTTCCGATTCAAAGAGATGTGACACATCACTTTTTAAATATCTAGCTTTATATAGAATATAGATAGATATAAAAGTACTATTTTTTTTATAGAATATAGATAGATATAGAAGACTAATTTTTAGTCAATCAAATATCTTGAAATAGGAATACATTCGTATTATTCTAATTTAATCTATATTATGCTTTTAAGGAGAAAGTGATTAATTTTATAATGGTATATATCAAAGAAACACAGAAGGTTAAAAAAAAGAAAGTACTAAGAAGATAAATGTTTGGTTAAAGTAATTTAGCAAAATCTGAACGTCTCTTTAAATGCAGAGTTAAATGTGTTTTTTTAATCATGAATATATTTAATTGCAGGATTTAAATGTCTTTTTCTTTTAATCATGAATATATTTTTAATTTGTAATTAAAAATGACATAAAAACTCAAAAACAAAAAAGATAAATACTAATAGAGGTCATTGGGAGGTGCCACATCATCGTTTTCACATTCAGCTTTATATATATATATATATATATAGATTTCGTTATGTAATTTAGCTTCAATAGAACATGAACAATGAAGAGTGGAACCTTAGGGGGTGTTTGGATTGATTTTTTTAAGTAACTTATAAATGAAAAATCATAAGTTGGAACATCCAACTTTTAGCTTTTGACTTTTTTCTGTTAACCAAACATTTTTAAAATTAAAAAATAGCTCAAGTATTAAAAATCACTTAAAATAAGTTAATTCAAATATGTGCACACTATAATATTAATGTGCATGATTAGGTAATTCTGCTTTGAATAACTTCCTATTTTTGTTCGCATCTCCGGATGGATGATGAATTTCTTTAATTTTTTACTTCAGGGAGGATTGGAGGAATTAGAGGTAGCAATTGGGCGGGTTGGGTTAAATTTGGGCGGGTCAAAATGGGTTAAGATAATAAACGGATCAAGACCCAACCCAACTCAAATTTGTTTGGGCCATAATGGGTTGGATCAAAACGGGTTAGGTAACAGGTTAATAACGGGTCATACCTAACCCGCCCAATATTTACTAAGTTTTAATAGTTTTATTTGTTATTTTATAAGCTTTTAGTACCTAATAAAATTATTTTTTCTTTCTTATAATTATATTTAACATATAAAATAAAATAAAAAAATAAAAAAAAAATTTGACAAGATTTCTCAAAAATTGTAATGACCCGGTAGATCATTTTTGGAAAGTTTTGTGAATTTACCGTTTTGCCCTCCCGATGTCGACCCCGAGTCTTTTATGATTGAGTTTGAAAAGTTGATTTTGGAACTTTGAGATAAAAGTTGAGAATTTGGTAAGTTTGTGAGTTTTAAAGGCCAAGTGTTAAGAAAGTGGGTTTTGAGTTCTTTTGGAGTTTCCAGTGTCGGAGTGGAATTTCGTCGATTCCATCAATCCTAAAATGTGAAATTTGATTTGTAAGAGTCGTTGGTTTCAGATTCTGAGTCTTTTTGAGGATTAGAGTTCCTGTGTTGTGAAATTGTGGACATTTAGTCTTTGGGTTGACTTTGGTCAACATTCGGGGTTCGGATTCCTGGATTCAGATTTCGAGAGTTTCATTTGATTTGGGGTGATTTTAGGCCTACGTGAGGTCTTGTTTGATTCTTGAGAGGTGTTGAGTTTGTTTTAGCCTTTTTACGCGTGAGTTAGTTTCTTGTGGTTTTCATGGATGTCGGGTCAAAGAGACCTCAGATTCGTGTTTTAACAGTTCCATTGAATCCGAAACGTCTAGTATAATTGATTTACATATATGGTTTTTGTGTGTGGGGTTCCAAACGAATCACGAGGGTCCTTTTGAAGTTATGAAAATTGGCTGAAGTTGTTAGTGTCTGCAGGCTTCACTTTTGCGAAGGCCAACTGCTTAAGCGTCCTTTGCCTAAGCGATGGGCTTGTCTCTTAAGTGGAGTTCGCTTTTGCGAAGGAGGCTTCACTTAAGAAACGCCTGCGATTTTGGCAAGTTTCACTTAAGCGAACCACCTGAGAGGGGTTTTGCTACTCATTCCGGGGTTTAAGCCCCAATTCATAATTTTTGAATTTGGGGAACCCTTGGCGGTGAATTTTGAAAGGATTTTTCGTGCTAAATCATTTGAGTAAGTTTTCTTGATCAAAAACCTTCATTTTCCATTGATTAATTATGAGGTTTTGATTGGTAAATGATGAGGTTTTTCAAGAACCCAAGTTTTTAGCTAAAATGGAAATTTTGAACTGTTTTTAAGCCCTTTTTAGAGATGATTTTTCCTGATGAGTTCCTAAAGCCTTGTAACACTCCAGAAAATGGTAGGTTAAACTAGAGCCTAAACGTGGGGATAAACGCCATAAATGAGGGTTATAAGGGTCAAGGCCAAAGGGGCAAGTGCAAGGCAAAGGGGCCAAGCCAAGGATAAAGGCCAAGGCTTTCCCCTAGCTTGTAGCTACTGCCCCACCTTCACGAGTGGGACCACGAGTCGTGGTCCTCAACATGGCTCGTGAAGGCAGCTTGTGGCCTTTCCTTGGCCATGAAAATGTGGCCCCCATTTTCCCTAGCTATTGCCTCAACTTCCAGGGCCATCACCACGGTCCTTGGTCATGACCACGACCATGGGAGGTGCTCGTGGAGTTGCCTTAGGCAATGAGCAAAGGGCATCGAAGTGGCGAGGCTGCTGCCTCAAGGACCACGAGAGGGACCATGGCTCGTGGAGCCCCCCGTGGTGATGCCTTGGGCTTGAAAGCCTCATGCCACCTTACAGGGGCTACTGCCGAAACCTTCACGAGAAGGACCACGAGTCGTGGTCCTCACCACGGTTCGTGAAGGTGCTCGTGACACTTGGGCTTGGTCTTTAAATGAGGATCAATTGAGTCTTTTCCTTTTTAAGTCCAATCAAAGTGAGGTCGTTTTGGGTATTTTTAGGGGTACTATAAAAGTTATTTTTTAAGTCAAATTCACCAAATTTTACTCATTAATTCATAACACCCAAATATTTCCCCAAAAGCCTCTCCTCTCCAATATTTCTCTCTCTAGAGTTCCTCCATTGAAGAACAACAAGAACTTGAAGAATAGGGCTCAAGAATCCATCAGATCAACTCCAATTCATGGGCAAAGCTTCAATTAACGTATGAGAGTCCTGATTTATGGAAAGTTTCCTTCCATAAAGCCCTTCAACTCCAATTTCAAATTGATAGATTCATCAATAAAAACTAGGGTTTTCAATCTAGCCATGGGTTCTTCCTTAAAAATTGATTTCATTTATGTTAATTGTCTTATATTATGGATGATATGATTTTTAATGGTGATTTTTATTGTAAAATTCCCCATGAACCCCATGAATTACCCCATGACCCAAATTTCATGAATTGTGATGGGTGTATTGATGCAAGATGAATACTATGAATTGTTTCTATACTATTGTAGTTATTGAATCTTGTTTTATTCATGCCTAATGTAGTATTTCTAGGTGTGATTATGTAACATGATTCATGACCCTTGAAGGTTAAGTTATGAAGGTTTGTACATGTTTATGAATGTTGTGTATGAAC